TCCAATTGAAGCCGCCGTGCATTTTACAACTCCATAGTCACTCTTGCACATTGGACATTGGCAATACATTGATTCCCACCGATTATGAGGAATTCTATGCATGTTTGGAGCGGCCGCTGGTTTAAATGCGTGCAGCCAAATTGTTTGAAGGCCTGCACGTGTTTGTGTTGTGTGTGTGTGAGAATATTCTGTAACCGTAGGAAATAATTAACGTAATACTTCTCAGTCTTGTATCAGTCCGCTGCTTTTCATGGAGGCCTTGCCATGCCTCGTCGACCGTGGGGGTCGTTTGACCACATGTCACCACCGTGTGGATCAGTGCAGGACCGGTGGGTGTCCAGGCATCACTCGTCACTGATGTTAGCCTTGGCCTGCAACAAGACTCAGGCCCACCAACGGGTTACCATGGCTCAACCGCTTTACCATTATCAGCTGTGTGAACGATCGGCACCAATCATGGTGAGGCTGAACTTGGCCCCATCAAACCTTTCCCAAGTGGTGGGGTTAAACGAGGCACTGTGCTGTCGCCTGAATTCACAAATAACGTTAAATTTATGAACGGAGACATTTCAAGTTTTATTTTGCTGAAGCAGGTGGGAACTTGAGAGAACAGAGGGATGAGTCTCGTTTGCAAGAGTGATCGGTGTCATCACAATGACAAAAGCAAAGCAAATAAAATAAAGTTACAGCAATTAAGTGAATATCAGTGTATCAAAAGAATGTGTTTCTGGGTAGTGTAGTGTTATTTCCTAATTGCTTGTGCCTGAAAAGTACAGAAAATTACTATTATTCCTCGCAAATTTTGCTTTTGTGACCAAGGCAGTGATATTTACCACATAAAGTCAGAAAAAAAACATTAATCAAAATTAACGTGTATTTATACTGAAGTAATACAAAAATGACTATATAGTGATATAAATCAGAGCAAAAACAACTGCGTGGTGCATGAAAACTCGAATATATTGCGCGTGCGTGAATCGATGTTAAATTATAAATTCCCTCTCGCGGAAGCTGGCTTGGGCAGATTATTAAAATGTGAAAGTGGCTTCCCACTCAGAGAGGGGGGGGGGTAGAGAACCATTGCTTGCAGCCAGGGTGAGAGTCCAATTGGGGTTACAAGTCTGTTTCTAGGGAGAGCTGGTTTACAAAGAAAAGATACAAGAGTCGTAAAAGCGAATTTGCAAGAAAACAAAGCGTTAAATGTTATAAATAAAATTCAATTGAAAGAAATAAAAAAAACAATTAACACGGAGGCAAAAATAACACAAATCAGATAAATTGGAAGTGCGGAACTTAACGAGGTAGAACAGCGATAAAGAAGCGATTGCACTCGGCTTCAAAGTAATTAATCCGATTGATCGTAGAAGATCGTGTAAAACATTAATGTGGGGCAGTGCTCTTCCACTTATGATGTGAAACTGAATTTCTTTCTCTTTATGAGACCTCCTTTGCCGGTAACAAGATATAGGAATAGGTTTTACCCTTTTAACTGGCACAAAAACTGACACCTTTATTCAAGGCATCATGTTTGCAATAACCACAACACAAGCAGTCAAAATGCAAACAAAAAAGACAACTCTGATAATGATATGCACTGTCCTTGAAATTGATTGGTCCACACCCGAGACGGCTTTTCTTAGAGCCTAGTCTCCATTGGTGTTGGACCAGAAGACGCCAAAAGGCGTACAACTCAAAAACAGCCCTCAATACTCTGATAGTGCGCTGTTTTTGAGTTGTACGCCTTTTGGCGTCTTCTGGTCCAACACCAATGGAGACTAGGCTCTAAGAAAAGCTGTCTCGGGTGTGGACCAATCAAATTCAAGGACAGTGCATATTATTATCAGAGTTGTCTTTTTTGTTTGCATTTTGACTGCTTGTGTTGTGGTTATTGCAAACATTGATGCCTTGAATAAAGGTGTCAGTTTTTGTGCCAGTTAAAAGGGTAAAACCTATTCCTAATTTCTTTCTCTTTGTTGATCCCTCTAGCCGTGTGCACTTAGGTCCCCTACCGCGCTGCGCGGTTGTCATTTGTCGAGCCGGGCATCCCTTGCTAAAGAGACTCTCGCCACCTCACGTGGGGATCTCGCTTGGTGACAAAAAGTGTCAAGCGTCATTATTATCGGATGGCAAGCGGAGGTGCGAGCGGTCAGCACACGGTGCTGCTATACACCTAGCGACCCGAGTACGATTCCCGGCCAAGGCTAACGACTGTAATAGTGAGTGATATCTGAACCGATCCTGGTGAAGTGTAGATCAAACAATCCCCACGGCCAACACGGTGTGTGTGTGTGTCGTGGCTTTTATCCAGCAGTGGATTGACAAATGCTGTTAAATCGACTTCGTTATTTTAAAATCTCCCTGTTTAAAGTGCTGAGACAGTGGCTGGATTTTCGACATTTTTCCTGACGGTGTTGGGGTTGAGGGAATCGTGTATTGTGCAGAAAATTCGCCTGGTGCACTCAGGTGCTCGTGGGTGGCAAGATGCGGAACATTCTTGAGAATTAAATTGACAGTGTCTTCCTCCACCCCCCCCCCCAGGCACGATCATCGAGTTGCTTTGCAGTCGTAGCATTTGTTCTGTGTTTTAATGAGAATCGATCAGATATATATAGCGGTAAAGGGAAAAACGTGGGGCATTATTGTGACCCGACACCTGCGCTGTGTATTTTCCTTTCCCTCCTTCCCTCTCTTTCTCTCTTAACGTCGGCAGCCGTTTCGTGTGAGACCGTTAAGAGGATCTTATAAACGGGCAATTATTTAATGAAATGCTTTAGGAGTCCAATTAGTTTTAATAATGGGCAATAAAAAAAACACGTACGAGTGACTCGAAGCAGGTGTAGCAGCGAGGTACTGGGTTGTACCGATCGGTGCTTGCGGTCGACCGCTCGCGTACGATCGTGGAAATAGCCCCGACCGCTCCGTGACTATTCTATGAAGCATCAACGTTCGTCTTAATTGTGTGATTCCAGTATAATTGGTGTCTTAGCATTTATTTCTGCATTAACGTTAATTCATAACAATAATGGCAAATATGTATTTATTAAGCGCCGGTGAGTGTCGAGGGAAGGCTCTGCCACATTGGGGATGTTTGAGTGAGTCATAATTGGATTTTTGGGTTGGGAAAAAAAATGATCTGAAGGAAGGGGGTGACACTCAGACCTGCCACCTTATGGACACACCTCTCACAGCCATAGACCTACAATATCTGGCTAACTGTCGTGGTTGATGGTGGTGGTGGTGGCGGCCACCCATCCACGTACCAAGCAGGGCTCAATACTGCTCAGCTCCCAACATCTGATTATATGAATATTATTGCCAATCACAAATGGACACATTTGGCAGTATTTAAGAAACCAGAATGTAGATTTTTTTTCTTTGGGCTGGTTTTGATAGCGATGCCTTTGAGGTGAGGTTGGTGGATCACAGAAATGGAACTGTTGGTTGTGCGTGCGACTCCCACTTGCAAGACAACGAGGTGGTGTGTGTAGGGGCAGTACAGTAAGGAGGTTGCAGGCAGGTTATGTTTGTGGATTTTGAGTGTTTCTCCTGGTGTGTGTGTGTGTGTTTTCTTCACAATAATATTGACCGGATATCCCAGTTCAGCAGCCCGAGACTCGGACTTTCATGTAAATAATTAGATTTTATTTTCTGATTATATACTCTTGTCCGTGGAAAGATGCGTGGGTTGTGTCATTCCTTGTAAATTAGATTGATCCACTCTTACGAAGGTGGCAACAATGAAAGTCGTGCATATTTGATTCGCCTTGGTTTCATAAAAAATATAAACTAGAAAGTAAATAACCAGCCGAACTTTAACTTCTTTACCGTAGCTTTAGTCAAATCCAAAATTTTGTCATTGTCTCTTCTGCAATGTTACTCCGATTGTGCTCTCGACTTTAAGGACATTTCCATTCATAACTCTCGCAGGGCAGTGCTTCACTCCTTGATAGAGATTGGTCTGCGGAAGGAGACGGCGTGCGGACTCCATCAGATAACCTTTGAACTGACCTCTTATCCACATTGGCAGAGCAGCACGTTCCACGTGGCCTGCTAAAGAGATATTCTTTGTGTGGCGATCAATCCAATAAATGTGCCAAATTTAGGCACGTGAATTCAGAAATTAGTGCAACATTTTTTTTGTCATGACCATCAACTCCATGGCACCTGAAATCCCGGTAAAACCGCAGGCAGCTGAAACCTGGATGAGAACCCATGCCCTCGGGTTTGCTGGCTCAGTGCTCGGACCTCTGAACCACGCGGGCCATCTCTAGCTACGTCAGGAGTAAACGTTTACAATGTCGTGTTGTGACTGAGTCGAGGGAGGGATTACAAAAAAAGGAAGGAAAGGTGCTTTAAGAGAGGCAGCGAGTCAACACGGCTTTCTTTTTATTGATCCCTGCGAAGGCTGTTCCGAGTGTTGCAACGCGTGCGTTTGGTCTGCGGTGGCAACAACTTAGCATCTCTGGCCGACCGTCAGCTTTCAAGGCGATGTTAATGCTCGTGGCGCAAGCGAAAAACGCAACTTGGATCTGCGGCGAAACGGAATTCCGCGCGCGCGCTCACGGCCCCTAGCGACGCCGAGGGAGACGGAGGTGGCTTTGGCGGTAGCGGCGCCGCAGTTACGGCTCCGTCGTTGTCGACGTGCCAGCGGTCGGCAAGCAATGGCTCGGTGCGCGTCGCAGCGGTTTTCGCACGACTCGCGCGATGGACTTCGCGGTCTGGCGCTTGCGTGTTGCGGGCGACGAGGGGACCTCTCTGCTGACGGGCGATTATAGACTTAGCGGATGTGTCGGAGGTAAGAGGGTGTCGTCGAGCGCCCGCCGCTCATCAGGAGCGTGTCGGTGGAGACCTGCCGCTTACCCTTTTAAAGCAAGTGAGTCTTGCCTAAGGGAAATGTAATTATTGCAGCGTGTTCATTTTGTGACGTCGCTCTAATGGTTTGTGCCTGTGTGTCTGTGTGTTGTGTGCGTGCAAATTTGTGTTCTTCCCGTGGCCGGTAGGAGTCGCAAGATCCAAGTTCGGAACATCCCTCCCCAAATGCAATGGGAGGTCAGTGAAGTATGCGATAGTTTTTACTCACTGAGCGCTGTACACGTGTGTGTTGGTGATAAATAAAATAAATGAATCTTCTTGTGTTCCATATCTCGCGATGAAAACGCATTGTGTGTTCTGTCGGCCAATTGGATGCCTCCAGCTTTAACCGTTAATCATCACTGATAAGCACCGAAAGAGAGAAACCAGCCCAGAGTTGGTGTATTTCAACAAAATTCTGATAGTTTACATACTTCTAAAATACAAATACAACGTATTTAATTTTGATGTGCAGATATGGATCTCAAGTTAATTTGTGTATTTTATTTATGAGTAAAAGTGTAAAGTTTTGCAAACCTATTTATGTTAACCATTCTCTTACGTGGTAACATTTTAACATTTAAATTTGATATTCTTGAACAAAAATCTTCTTATGACCGATAACGAAATACTGTATTGTTATTTGTAAATAAACGTGCACACATACAAACAACACGTACATCCGTACATAATGCACACCATTGCATACGCATACATGCGATTGTATGTACAGTTATATGTTAAAACACACACAGAAACATACTTGCATATGGACACATGTCTGTGTCATGCTAGTGCTTAGTTTTATTATAATTTTCATGATCGTAAATGCATTTACGTCAAACAAAGACGGTCACCGCATCGCGCGCTTTCAGATGCGCTTCTGCAGTCATCTGGAACGCTCTTCCTTCCGATATTAGGAAGCTACTGGAGCTCATGCACTTTTACATCGTCTAGATTGACAACATAATTTCTTTAGAACTGCTCTTTGTTTAGTTTGTTGTCCTTCCCCCCGCATCTCTGATGAGCACGGTTGGCTACGTACAGTGCGAAAGAAGTTCAACATACATAAAATGTACGCATGTGCATGCCATTCAATCGTTCACATTCTACTATCAATGTTGCTCTTAATTTGCCTCATTTCTAAGCAGCGAAATGTTTCTTAAACTCTGCCCCACCCGCCCCCAACCCCCACCTCTTTCCCACACCCAGCAGGATTAATCGGTACACCGCAGTTAGATCGATCGGTCGGCCGGTCGCCCGACTGGTGGGGCACAGTGTGGGTAATCGTCGCACCTCTTCCCGAGATGTCTGGCCAGCGTGGAAGAGTAGGCCAAACATGGTCCTCTAAAGAGGGGTTCTCGTGAGCTCTCTCTCTACTGCAGGCCCCATCTGGCCAGCAGTGGCATGAGCGAGCTATAGCAGGGCGGGGTGGGGGGGGGGCTGCACCTTTCGCTCGAGCAGCAGATCGACGCGCGTTGTAGAACAAGGCAGAAATGCGCTCCGTAGCTCCAAGACCAAACGTGTTTTGTTTTTGTCATCTCGGGTTTGTTCAGTTTAATTAATCGGGGGGTTCTTGTTTGTAGGTTTTAGATGGCCTGCTAGCTCAGTACGGGACTGTGGACAACTGTGAACAAGGTGAGACTCTTGCTCAATCCTTCAGATCTGAAGCTCGCTCGGTAAAATCAAATTGCGCGGCAGGTTGATTGTGTCTCTCGGCGACTGTAACAAGAAACCCCTGTCACACTACATTTGTGTTTTGCGCTTAATTTTGGCAAATTCCAGCTCTTGATAATTAAAACTTTGATTGGAATTTGTCACAAAATCTTTGCAGGGCATGAAGAGGTGCGCCTGTCGTTTGGGATAAAGAGGTCACTCGAAGTGACCTCAGAAGTAGTTCTGTGATGTCATCTTCTGGGGCCATTCTCTGATATAGGGGCTAAATGGAAACGTCTTCATCTCGGGACTTGATGTTGAAAGCACAATCGGGATCTCCTGCAAAAGGAGTAGGGAAAATTGCGTGGCCCTTTAATTCATCACACCGGCATCTTGTTGGAAATTACAGATATATAGCCTGCTCGGCTTACATTTTGGACAATGGCCCTTCCTCGTGGGAAGAATGATTTGTGTTTTCAACACATTTTTTCCTCGATCGCCTGCTTTGCTTCCGTCACATCTCGGAAGCTAAGCAGGCTTTGAGCCTGGATGGTGCTTAGATGGGTGGCCACCATGCACAACAGGATGTTAGAGGCTGCAGGGCTACGTGGTGACCGAGCATAATCCATCGTTGTACTCTGCTTGTACGCTGCCACATCTATGTTCCCCAACCTTCGCCAAAACGAATGCACCGACTAACTCCAACGACCCACGTGGCGTGGGGAAGGCCTTCGTTCAGCAGTGGAGAGATAACGGACTGTGTTGTCGACTTTACAACTGTCTCTCGGTGCATTGCTTGACGTGTATGCATGCGCGTGCTTCTTGCAGTGAACACAGAGAGCGACACGGCAGTTGTGAACGTGACCTTTGGCAGCAGGGAGCAGGCCCGGCAGTGAGTGTCACCTCCACCCACTCCCCCCCCCACTACCACTACTACCATCCATAAAATTATTAGCACACAGAACTTGCAATCTGGAGATCACTGGTGTGGCGTTTCAAACAGTGGGGCGTGTTTCTTGAATCCCACTTGTACTGTTCACCCAGCGATGTAAATGGGCACACTAGTAGACCAAATATGCTCTCTGCGGCAGTGTGAGTAGGCAATTGTAGGGCTGCACCTTTATTTTAACAAATATTCCTCCCAGCTGCGTAGAGCGAGCAGCTCACAGGCTGAAGGTTACGAGTCCAAATCCTAGCTGGGGGTTGACTCACCCCATCTCACACCCCCCCCCCCCCCCAGGTTTGAGAAAGGGAGTACCACCTTCTACTAAAGTCAACATTGGTTGCCCCTACGGATAGACTCGCACCCATCATAGGAATGTGCAATTTCCACCACTGGCTCGGGGGCTGAAAACGAGAGATGAGCCACCGCCTCACGAAATCAATTAAAACACGTGGTCTGTTTGTAAGCCAATTTGTTCGTAAGTCTACTTCTGTCGATTCCAAACATGTAGTATGGCGTGTACACTAAATACGGGGAATGGCTTTAAAAGTTGTATATTCTTCTGTAAATGTAGATGCCACTGCTTCTTCATGTTCTGCAGATGTAGATGCCACCACCGCCATCTATTGCGCGGCGGTTGAACTTACGACTCTCAATCCGAACAGGCAACTGGACATACGGACCAGGTTTGTTCGTATCTCTGAAAGTTCGTCGAGTCAAATGTTCGTAGGTAGAGGAGTCCCTGTCCGTACGTGCGTCTACCCCCTCCAGGGCCATCGACAAGCTCAATGGCCACCAGCTGGAGGGCTACTCACTCAAGGTGGTCTACATCCCGGACGAGAGCGCCGGGCCGCCCCCCGGTCGCCGGGGGTTCCCGGGCGGCCGCTTCGGGGGCCGCCAGCCCGGGGGGGGCGGCGGGCAGGCAGCAGGAGGCGGCGGCGGCGGCCTGGGCCCCGGCGGTGCATCGGGGGGGCCCGGGGGACCGCACGGCGGGGGCCAGTCCGGCGGCGGGGGCCGGCAGCAGGGCGAGGTGCCGCTGAGGATGCTGGTGCCGAGCCAGTACGTGGGCGCCATCATCGGCAAGGAGGGGGCCACCATCAAGAACATCACGCAGCAGACGCAGTCCAAGTGAGAGGCCAAGCCGTGACGTGCATGCATACGCGCGTCTACAAAGACCCCCCGCTCCCCCAGTGTAGCCTTTAAGCAGACTGTGGGGGTATAAGTGCTGTTAGCGAGCACCTATGAAGGTCAGAAAGACACACGAGGAGATGGGTGGCTAGCGCCACGGCTGGCCGCCTTTGTCTCCCATGTGGCGATGTTTACACACCTTGCAAGGTGCTCATTTGAGGCTGAGTCGACCTAGGGGAGGCCCAGGAACCAGTTCAAATTATCGCCATTGATGTTGGCCGTGAACGGGAATGGCACTTGGGTTTCTGGGTTCATTGCGCAGCACGCTAACTGCTCCAGTACCACTCCCCACTCGCGCAGAAATACAAAGAACCCCCCCACCAGTAAAAAAAACTGTTGGGACAAGTTCTGTTAGTGAGCATCTACTGAGGCCAGCATAACAAACACATGAACACCATCGCCTCCCCCAGTGCTGGTGTTCACTACGCACCGTAACCAGGTACTCATTTAAGGCTGGGTCGACTTACGGGAGTGCCGGGTTTAGGTTCAGATATCACTGGGCACTGATGTCAGCTGTCACCCCACGGAATCAGGCGTTGAAAATACACAAACAGAAGCCACAAGCACCTCCGCGTCTCGGAGCTGCGCGTGAACATTGAGCGCGATGTCGTCATCGTCATCCCGACTCTTCCATCCCGTCCCGTCCAGGGTGGACATCCACCGCAAGGAGAACGTGGGCTCGGCTGAGAAGCCAATCACGATCCAGTCGACGGCAGAGGGCAGCTCAGCAGCGTGCCGCCTCATCCTGGAGGTCATGCAGAAGGAAGCGCTGGACACGAAAACGTGAGTGAGAGAGAGCTCGCCCCGTCATCCGCGCGCTGTCACCCGCCGCTCCCTGCACTGCGATCGCGTATGGGTGGTGCTCGATTGTATTGTTTGTTTGGAGGCGAGCTCACGTCCACTATTGATTGAGAAAGTGTTAATGTGCCCTGCGTTAACATCACCTGTCAAAACACATGACTGTTTAAATGTTGATGATATGATAAGTATCTTGCCCCGTGTTATTATATACCTCTGAAAGTATCTTATCTACAGCACATAATTAGCTGTAGTATCCACCCACCTACCTACCCACCCACCCTACCGAATAGGACCCATTCACCAACCTCACCAACAGCCTATCTCATGTATTGTGTTCTTGGTGATGGTGCTTGTACTGACGATGCCCATGTGAACCCTGTATTGACGTGATCACTCTTTGTTGATCCCGTGTAATGGTTGTGCAATGGTTCGCTTCAGTGTCTCGATACGAGTCTCCTCTGAATATAGCGGCCCCTAGTGGCTGCACAGGTGACATTAACACGTGACATACAACACGTACAAATCCTAACACTTTTATTCTCACTCATGCGCCTATCCCGAGCTTGACGAACAGTATGAATCAAAGAGTACATAAGTGGTTGCAATGCTATTACCCACGCTAACCCCATGTTAACCTCGTGTTTTATTACATATCAATGCCGTTTACGATTTGTTTAAATATAAGCTCATGTTTTTCGTTAACTAAGCGAGTGTTTATCTTCACTGTTCAAAGGCCTTTAATAGTAGCTGCCAAAAAAAATCGCAACCAAAGACCAAATATGGGCGCCACTATGGAAAGTTGTTAACTACCTCGCCTGATATACACAAGGTCGTGGGTTCGATCCCGACCCCGACGCTGTATATTTGGAGTCGGCATGTTCTCTCCGTCACATGGATTTTTCTCCGGGTCCTCCTGGTTTTTCTCTCCACATAGTATTTGGCTGCTATAAATTTCCACGTGAGAAGCCCCTTCGTTGAGCTATCATTTGTGACCAGCTCGCTTCTGGAAAATAGCCTATACAGCTCAGCGGGCCTTACCTGGTAAAATAAAAAATAGTTTTTAAATAGATAATTTCACCCTGGACGTGCGATCGCAGTGCCGAGGAGGTCCCGCTGAAGATCCTCGCTCACAACAACTTCGTGGGTCGTCTCATTGGCAAGGAGGGGCGCAACTTGAAGAAGATCGAGCAGGATACCAACACCAAGATTACCATCTCGCCGTACGGAGACCGCACACACCACCGCGTTCGTCTTGCTTTCAAAACCACCGCGTTCGTCTTGCTTTCAAAACCACATTCGCAAGCTTTATGTTTAAATTATTTTGCGCCGTATGTGGCCAACCTTGCTAATCGGAGGCGTTGATATTGAGTGTACAGGCACCGGAGCCCACAGGTCGGCGGTGCCCAGGTTCTGGGTATTATGTAAAGGAGAGGCACTGTTTGAAATTAATCGCAAGTATCACTCGTAGGTTGTAGATAGATGGATAGTTTTTATTTATTTAAGCAGGAAGGACCGAGTGAGCCGTTCGGCTCTTTCATGGGTGTCCTGCGACGGTACAGATGTTATACACTGTGTGTCACGGCCAAGTTAAAATGTTAGTTTCTTGGCTACATTTAAAAAAAGTCATCCTTGAAGTCTCTCAATGACGTAACACGGTCTAATCTTTGCCGGGTGACTTGCGCTCCGTCACCAGGCTGCAGGAGTTGACCCTTTACAACCCGGAGCGGACCATCACCGTGAAGGGCTCCATTGAAGCCTGCTCGCAGGCCGAGGTGGAGATCATGAAGAAGCTTCGCGAGGCCTACGAGAATGACCTGGCAGCCATGACGGTACCTACCCCTCCTGTCGCCACCTCCTCTGAGGAAAACCTCATTCTTTCAAACTAAATATTTTTTGTATTTTACCAGGTAAGGCCCACTGGGCTATATAGCTCTTTTTCAGAGGAGACCTGGCCACAAATGATAGATCAACGAAGTGGCTGATCATGTGAAAATTGATATCAGCCAAATATTATAAATGCATGTTGATTCTAAATGTGCAGAGAAAAACCAGAAAACCCGGAGATAAATCCACGCGAACATGGGGAGAACAAGGAAACTCTAAATACACAGGCATCAGGGTTGGGATCAAACCCACGGCCTCCTGCATACCTGGCGCGAGGTAGTTAAATGGCTACATAGCTCAGTGGGCTTTACCTGGTAAAAGTAAAATACATATTTTTTTCATAATAAAGGTTTTTGGGTTAGATCGCGTTATTTATAAATGTGTCGAAACCCTCCACCACCCGACACGGCCAATCAGCAAAATAAAGTGTCACGTTGACAAAAGACAATTAGTTCACTACTTTAGCCCACCGGTGTGTTGAAGAGTGAATCCACAACATTTACAGTTTGAATACGACGTTTCGCTGGTAATTACATCCAGCATCATCGGGCGAATTGCCCGATGTCACGTTGTCTTTGGTCAACGTGACACTTTATTTTTGCTGATTGGCCGTGTCGGGTGCTGGAGGGTTTCGACACATTTATAAATAACGCGATCTAACCCAAAAACCTTTATTATGAATAATATTGGTCGCGAAAGCCTACGTGTTAAACCAAATATTTTTTTGTTTAGTTTTAATGATTGTCCATGAAGGTTCCTCTCGTGAATCGCGGCATAAAACTGCCATTCAGTGCCACTGGGCGAGAAGAGGTCTTAATGTCTGTATCTCACGAGCGGTGTCACTCCCATCCTGTTCTTAACTTTTGGCAGCAACAAGCGAATCTGATCCCAGGCCTGAACCTCGGAGCCGTGGGCCTCTTCCAGCCATCGATGCCGATGGTGCCACCGCCGGTGGGCTCCGGAGGCCCCTCCTCCTCCTCCTACATGGGCCTCATGGTGAGCAGCCTCACAAGCGGCAGAAGCTCTGGGCGTCAGAATCAGATGAAATTGGCGCAGACCTTCCTTGTAGAGTGTTTGTTTTGTTTACCATTATCATTGTGTTGTTGTTCCCATCAATATCACAGTCATTTATCAAATTTGGCAAATATGTACTGTTATGCCGGGACACACATGGCCTACTCTTGTTTTGAATGACAACATGGAAACTTTTAACATCCTCTTTGAGCCAGACGACACCCCTGATTAGCACGGATGGCTACGTACGGTGCGAAAGAAGTTCAACATACATACGTAGTAATTTCACAGTTAATATACATGCAGGATTAACCAGGGCAACCGCTGGGCTCAAACCGCGAACCTCTGCAACGAGCAGTAAACACGCTACCGCTCGGCCAGGTCACTTGCTCTAGAAGTATCAGGATCGTCATTGTCATGATCATTGCACAGCATCTCTTAACTATGAGTCTCCTTTGCCAGTTTTGCCATCAACATTTTAACCAGACATGATTATTATCACTGTCATCGTTATAATCATCAGACGCAGCAGCAAATTCATCGGTATGATTATTGAACATCCCGTATTCATCATTATCATTGTCATCTAACCACCGTTATCTATGATTCACCGTTATCTTTTTTGGATATTTTCACTGGTGAGATGAAGGCAGCCGGGTGCACCTGCTGCTGGCCACGCCACCACCTGGTCACAAGTGCTCTAAAGCTGCAACAACCTTAATAGCCACTTGTGGACAGCATTTATCCTGAAGGTCTCCCGTCTGTTGAGCGGAGGAAGAGTATGCGTGTGTGTGCGTGTACATGTCTGAGTGCGCACATGTGCGTGTGTTTGTAGGAGCGGGTGTGCACGCACGCGTGCGATTGTGTGTGCGTGTGCACACACCCACGTGTGTTTGCGTGAGCGTGTGTTGTGCACACCGGTGTGGATTAGTTGGTATACGTTTGCACACATCCCTGCGTGTGTCTGTATGCGTGCGCGTGCGTTCGCGCGTGTCCGTTTACACGTGCGTGCTTGCCCGCGCGTGTGCGTACGTGTGTGTGTGTGCGTGCCATCCGGTGTAGGCTTGGCATGCCGCCGCGGCCCCGGGTTCCGCCCCGGGTGTTCCGTCGTGCCCCGTAAGTGCGCTGGCACGCACAAGCGCCAAGCCTATTAACGAACACTTGCCTCCTTTTTTTTTCTCGCGTTCAATAAGTTCCGCCGCAGGCTTGGCCAGTGACCACCAACGCCACCAACCCTCCTTCGCTGCACTCTCCGCCGCTGCCACGCGCGCACCGGAAAACTAAAGTGGAAATAGCCGTTTTCAAATAACGTGTTTTAACAGTGCTTGGGCAGGATTCCATTTCACCGAACGATGTCATTGTTTTCGTTTTTTGCCTCTCAACGTTATAAGTATAACCGTCTGCTCTCCGCGAGTCCTCTTAACATTGCGCATCGGGCAATCTCTTCTGCTGTGCAAATTCTTTGTGCGTCTCTTCAACACCTCCAAAACTCGTGGAAGCCACTGCTTGGCTCGGCTTTGCTGCCTTCTCCTGTTCACCTGTGGGCGTGTTTTCTGTACCGTAAAAGTTACACGCAGCAGCGTTTATAGAGAAGGCGAAGGGGGACAACTAATTTGTGGGGAGGTACCAGCTAATCGCTGCCATTTTGTTTGCCTTCTTTTACAAGCGCTGGGAATTTTGTTTGCCATGGCATTGCGTAAGACATTGCTTCTTAAAAATATTAAACAAATTTCACGGACCTTAATCCCTAAGACCTCACGCTTCCCCTGCAGGGAACCTAAGATCTGGATTTCATTAATTATGATACATTTTTAATGGTTTTCAATTCAGGTTGAAATTGTTTACACATTAGCACGCTGTGTCGTGTCCATAGTGAAGGTGGGAGCACTGTAACTCTTGTCGAGAGGATACCATGTGAATGAATCTAGTATTACATTGTCTTGCTATTAAGCACTTGCCCTAATAAAACCGGCCCCAATGATTAAGGGGGTGAGGCACAAACCAGGGCAAAAAGGATAATTTCTGAATATTCAAACGTGTTTTGCCCTGACAGCTGCCCTTGGTCTTCCGAATGGTTATAAAGACAAACTCACTTTGGAAAGCATTACAGGATCCATGTTGCGTGCATTATTTTTTTCCCAACTTGTAAATAACGACGCCTCCTTCATTGGTCATATGATGCATCGCGATGGGTCACATGACCTTGCACGCACTAACGTATACAGCACATGCAGAGTTTCAGGTTTATTTTATTTAACGAGGTGAGAACTCGGATACCAGGATAAATTCTCATTTGTAACAGTGACCTGTAGCACCAAAACGATGCAACCAAAACAAAATAAAGTACAGCAATGAAGCGAATAGAAATCAAAACTAATTTGGATGGGTAGATGAACAGGACGATCCACTCTTGATTCACGTACAGATTTCACTTTTGCGTGTCAGGGCATGTGTCACGAAATCACGAAGGATTTTTCGATATGGCATGTGCACAGGTGTGGTGCACAGGTGTGGTGCACAGTGTGTGCTTACCATGCACGTGTGTGTTCCTGTGTGCACGTGTGCTTCCTCAGCCCTCGGAGCAAGAGACGGTCTTCCTCTTCATCCCGGCGCAAGCGGTGGGCGCCCTCATCGGCAAGAAGGGGCAGCACATCAAGCAGCTGTCTCGCTTTGCTGGCGCCTCCATCAAGGTGTCTTTATCGTCGCACTGCCCCCCCCCCCGCGGCGCCTCCACATCCAGCACCGTCGCCACCGCCATCACGGTCGTCGCATAACTGCGATCCTCATCTTTGTCGTCAACCTCACCATCGCTATCTTCCTCGCCACCGCCGCCATCGTCATCACCACCGTCCTCATCATTAGTATATATGTATGTTGAACTTATTTTGCACCATATATAGCCAACCATGCTAATCTGAGGTGCATGGGAAGAACAAACTAAAACACAAAAAGCAGTTATCACCATGGCTATTGTCCTCACCTTGGAAATCATCACCATCATCACCACCATCCTCAACATCACTAACATCCTCGATTGTCGCTGCCACCTTCCTCATCATCGGTATTATCATTGACACTAAATTCACTATCATCACTTGCTCTCAAGCACTGCCACAACAAGATTGACACAGTCTTCACAAAATAGGCATTTATGTTGGACACTATCCTTACTATCTCCATCACCACCGTTGTGATAATTATCATCACCACTATTGCCATCACCATTATCACCACCAGCACGACAATATGCATAATCAACTATCACCTATGACACCATCCCCATCATCATCATCGCCACGGATATCATCGGCATTACCGCTGCCACCATCGTCGCCAGCGCCATTACTGTTATCGCCATGCTACTATCCTCACCATCACCCCCACCACCATCACCATTATCACCACCACCATCCCCGCCATCACCGTCGCTACTTCCACAACCTATGCGAGCCACCGTTTGTCGTGTATACCATCTTACAGATTGCACCAGCAGATACGCCGGACTCCAAGGAGAGGATGGTGATCATCACGGGCCCTCCTGAGGCTCAGTTCAAGGTAATTTCCTTCAGCCGTGTTCTCTTGCCCAGGATCAAATACACTTTTGAGTGCGGCCGATCTCGTCAGCTCACACGCACGAAGCAGGGTTGGTGAGCCTGTCTCTGTGCTTGAATATGAGATTACAAGGATGGGAATACCGGGTGTTGCCGTGGTGGCGAGATGTCAACCACCTCGCTTGGTATACAGGAGGTCATGGGTTCGATGCCGACCCTGACACCCATATATTTGGAGTTTGCATCTTCTCCCCGTGGTCGCGTAGACTTTTCTCCGGGGCCTCTGTTTTTTCCCTTCACATTAGAAACATGCATTTAAGAGTATTTGGCTACTATAAATTTCCACATGATAAGCCACTTCGTTGAACTATCATTTTCTGAAAAAGAGCTATATAGCTCAGTGGGCCTTACCTGGTAAAATAAAAAATGGTTTAGTTTGGAGGCTGGGGCTGTTAAGATTGGCCAGCAGGTGGGTCTCAAAAGTGTTTCTCCCCCTTCTCCGGGGCCGGTGGATGCAGTCTCAGGGCCGCATCTACGGGAAACTCAAGGAGGAGAACTTCTTCAACCCCAAGGAGGAGGTGAAGTTGGAGGCGCACATCAAGGTGCCCTCGTCGGCAGCCGGCCGGGTCATCGGCAAGGGCGGCAAGACGGTGAGCATGGCCCGCAGCGACACCACACGGCTCCCGTTATGCTATTCATAATTATTGTTTTATATTTGTTGATTTATTATTAACTTGCCATTTGCCAGTTCGCTGCTGGATGAAGGCCTCGCCATGCCGTGCAGGTTATGGAGGCTATTTACCCATACTTCACCATGCTGGTCAGTGTGTATTTGTGAAGATGGGGAGCGTATATGTGGGAGCATAAAGGTACAGTGAGGGAAAAAAGTATTTGATCCCCTGCTGATTTTGTACGATTGCCCACTGACAAAGAAATGATCAGTCTATAATTTTAATGGTAGGTTTATTTGAACAGTGAGAGACAGAATAACAACAACAAAATCCAGAAAAGCACATGTTAAAATTTTTATAAATTGATTTGCATTTTAATGAGGGAAATAAGTATTGACCCTTGTTGGCAATCACAGAGGTCAGACGTTTCTTGTAGTTGACCACCAGGTTTGCACACACCTCAGGAGGAATTTTGTCCCACTCCTTTTTACAGATCTTCTCCAAGTCATTAAGTTTTCAAGGCTGACGTTTGGCAACTCGAACCTTCAGCTCCCTCCACAGATTTTCTATGGGATTTAGGTCTAGAGACTGGCTAGGCCACTTCAGGACCTTAATGTGCTTCTTCTTGAGCCACTCCTTTGTTGCCTTGGCTGTGTGTTTTGGGTCATTGTCATGCTGGAATACCCATCCACGACCCATTTTCAATGCCCTGGCTAAGGGAAGGAGGTTCTCACCCAAGATTTGACGGTACATGGCCCCGTCCATCGTCCCTTTGATGTGGTGAAGTTGTCCTGTCCCCTTAGCAGAAAAACACCCCCAAAGCATAATGTTTCCACCTCCATGTTTGACGGTGGGGATGGTGTTCTTGGGGTCATAGGCAGCATTCCTCCTCCTCCAAACACGGCAAGTTGAGTTGATGCCAAAGAGCTCCATTTTGGTCTCATCTGACCACAACACTTTCACCCAGTTGTCCTCTGAATCATTCAGATGTTCATTGACAAACTTCAGACGGGCATGTATATGTGCTTTCTTGAGCAGGGGGACCTTGCGGGCGCTGCAGGATTTCAGTCCTTCACGTCGTAGTATGTTACCAATTGTTTTCTTGGTGACTATGGTCCCAGCTGCCTTGAGATCATTGACAAGATCCTCCCGTGTAGTTCTGGGCTGATTCCTCACCGTTCTCATGATCATTGCAACTCCACGAGGTGAGATCTTGCATGGAGCCCCAGGCCGAGGGAGATTGACAGTTCTTTTGTGTTTCTTCCATTTGCGAATAATCGCATCAACTGTTGTCACCTTCTCACCAAGCTGCTTGGCAATGGTTTTGTAGCCCATTCCAGCCTTGTGTAGGTCTACAATCTTGCCCCTGACATCCTTGGAGAGCTCTTTGGTCTTGGCCATGGTGGAGAGTTTGGAATCTGATTGATTGATTGCTTCTGTGGACAGGTGTCTTTTATAGAGGTAACAAGCTGAGATTAGGAGCACTCCCTTTAAGAGTGTGCTCCTAATCTCCGCTCGTTACCTGTATAAAAGACACCTGGGAGCCAGAAATCTTTCTGATTGAGAGGGGGTCAAATACGTATTTCCCTCATTAAAATTCAAATCAATTTATAACATTTTTGACATGCGTTTTTCTGGATTTTCTTGTTGTTATTCTGTCTCTCACTGTTCAAATAAACCTACCATAAAAATTATAGACTGATAATTTCTTTGTCAGTGGGCAAATGTACAAAATCAGCAGGGGATCAAATACTTTTTTTCCCTCACTGTAGATGATAATGGCGGGGTTTGTTAGATTGCCATTAACTGGCCACTGTCGCTTGCTGCTGCTGAAATCAGCCGTGACTGGGAATAGAGCTCGGGTCACCGGAATTATTATCCGGTGTTGTAATATAGTACGAGTGATATGGAGCTCTCCGTTGTTAGTCTGCATGACCCAGAAAGGATTGAGTGGCGTTAACATTTTTTGGTGGTCCAGAGACAGCGGTGGACATGTTATGGTGCTTATGTCAGGGACCAGGAACACATGGATCCGAGAGTATATGTAAGTTAGAGACATAGTGACTGCTCAGGAATTTAGAGTGGCTTTGGTAGGATACTTCATTAGAAAGGTGATGGCTGGTGGTGGATCGCTAACAACAAAGTGGCACCCAGAGGAGGGAACTTGCCCGCGAGGATGGCCGCCATGGAGATGGAACAATGATTAAATTAGCTAATGTGCAGGCACTCAATGGCGGTGACGACCTGGGGAGACCTTCATCCATTTGTGGATAAATCATGGCTGCTGCCGACGATGACGTGATGACGGTGATGATGATTGCGTGTCCCCTCCCATGTGTCCGTGCCGTGTCAGGTGAACGAGCTGCAGAACCTGACGAGTGCCGAGGTGGTGGTGCCACGGGATCAGACGCCGGACGAGAACGATCAGGTCGTCGTCAAAATCATCGGCCACTTCTTCGCCAGCCAGGTGAGCCTTAGTGTGCTTAGTTTCGCGCAAATATAAACGGAACCGCGTTGTGTCTCTCCGGACGTAAATTAAAAAAAATCCGTTTTATTTCACCAGCCTCTTGGCTTTCCACATCAATATTATCAAGCAGTATTTTTTGTTTAAATAGGCAAACTCGACTGGTTTTGAAAATCTAAATGTCATAAGCAAGAATAAGACTTGATGTTATTGGCAAGAGCACTCCGTGTAAAATATAGGACACTTCGATTTAAAGCTTTTGTGACTGCAAGGATTCATCTTCTTTGGTTCTTTCGGTAAAGTCACGTAGAATGAGAATAAAATAAAATAAGACAATAAAATTCTCACGACGTTTCGGCCACAACACAAGTAGCCTTCTTCAGGTGAAAGAACAGAACTGTCGGGACGACAGAGCTTCATTGTCCTATTTTATTTTATTATTTTATTCACATTCTACGTGACTTTACCGAAAGAACCAAAGAAGATGTAGGACACTGTTCGAAATGCAACGTTTTGTAGTGCTTCTTGCACCCTTGCTCTGCAGCACATCCTCTAGTGGAGGCGGCAACGTCAGCACTGGCGTCAGTAAGAAATTGGGGGGTTACTCACCTTACCTTCACCTGTTAATGTCATTAAGTCGAAGATGAATGTTGCGCACTTTCCCTGTGGTTGTTTTGAATGTGTGTAATTTAGTTGTAGTTTTTTTTTCTCTCACTTCGATTAACCTTGTTGACTTACATTTTTTTTCTTTTTTTAGACGGCGCAGAGAAAGATCCGCGAGATTCTCCACCAGTTTAAGCAGCAGCAGTCCCGACCGGAGCAGTCGCAACCCCGCAGGAAATGATGTCATCGCAGAGGCCCAAGAGGACAACGGGGGGGGGGGGGGGGGGGAAACAGCAAAACGCCAGTGATGATGTCTTCCCTATATTGAGAAGCCAGTATTGATTATTGCCAATGTTGTCTTGTGTTCCATGGAATGTAACTATTGGACAAATTAAATTGTTAATGCACAGGGACGTCGATCGCGGGCGTGGAGTTGAAAGAGCGGGGAGCAGTAAACACAGGTAGCTTAGGGTACAGGGGCACGCACATTAGGTGTCCTGTTGTCGATGGAAGGCGACAGGGGACACGGGACTATTAATTATTACTATTTTAATTTTTTGTTAACGACAGCTTTTGGGAAACCGAAGCGGGTTATTAAACTGTGCTCTTGAGAGTGCCTGCTTTTTTGTCGTGGCGGCCGCGGCCGATGGTAACCGTTGCCGAAGCCCTCGGCGCAAGAGAGCGTTTTAGCGGTAGAGGCGTTTGTCGAAGACACTGCCCAAGCTTTGCGTCGTTCGCGACCGGCGCCCGCGTGGGCTTGCGGAGCGGCGAGCGTCGTTCTCCCTCGGTGCGGCGTGGCGCGGTGCGGCGCGACGGGGTTGAGGCAACGTTTTGCGCACCGCAGTTTGCCGTGCACGGAGAACGTCGCGACGTCACGCCGCAACCTAAGCGGCTGAGATCAGAGAAAAAAAAAATCTATAATACTCTTAAGGCACATGATGATTGTATAGGATTTTTTATATATATACACACACGAAGCTCCGCTAAATGCCTTGCAAGTATTGGCACAAGGGATTTTGTTTTTCTGTTGCTCGTGCTCTTCTCCTCTCCCTATCACATTCCATGGAATCGTTTTTATCGCGCAGTTTCCCCCGTCGAATATTTCGAGGGGACGAAATTGCACACGGCTTGAGATTTCTTCGTAAAACATATCATTGGGGGCGTTTCCGAAATTGTGCTTGCTGCAGCTGGCTTCTTTGGTAAGCCAGCAAAGTTGTAAAGCTTTTTCTTTTTATTAGATCTGAAAAGGGTCTGAGTTTGATCCCCTTAAATGCGTTATTTTGCATTTTTTATGAACACAAATGCAAAACAGGGCTTTCTTGTAACCGCTGGGGTTAAGTTAGTTGAAACGTCGCAAGGAATACGTTCAATTTAACGGAACTGAACGCGATGAACCTTTTAAAGAGTTGTTCGAAACACTGCGCAATATCCGTGTCACGCTGGTTTTGTACAGTTGTCCTCAACGCAAGGGGTTACATTAAACTGGTCGTCTTTTTGGATACAGCTGCTGCTGCAAAAAAAAATCAAGAATTTTAAAACGACGTATACTTTTAGCTGGCCGCCAATATGTTAAAATAAAAAAAAACACAAGCTATAATGTAATGATGAGGAAATAATAATGGTAATACATTTTTTTAGCATAATCTACCTCAGGCATATTTAGTACCTCAATGTATTTCATTTTTTTAGTTATTTTGTATGCTTTATATGAAAAATAAAAAAAATTAATAGACTTTATAATGTTTTATTTTTTTAATAAAATGAGAAGTTTGCGTTCATTGATGAGGAAGCTGTTGGTGGCATCTTGAAGCCGGTTTGCCTTCAGGGCTTCCTGTCAATGGATCCACGTTTGGAACGTTTACTCATTCAACTCAAATTTATCACGGAAATTGTGTGGCAGAGGTCAGTAATGATCAACGGACATTTTGTTTTGCCTTTATTATTTTTGTCATCCACCGTTAAATTTTTTAGGTTTAACTTTTTTTCAACCTCAATTCTTCTGAGGTGTGTGTGTGTGTGCGCTGATGCTAGTTTTGTCGAGATGTGGGGAAGTTTAAAGGTGGGGGGGGGGGGGAAACTGAAAGATATATGATATATATTAAACTACAAGAAATAACGCGAATCGATTTGGATTTGCGTTGTTGCTGATGGTGCCAGGTTAGGTTTTAAAAATAAATTAGAGCATGAGAGGGAATGAATACGCACACATAATTGTTGGTAATGTCGTGAGATGATGCTACGGATTTTTTTTTACGTGTAGTCGTATTTGTGATACTTGGATTGCGGTGGGAAACTAAAAAAAAGATTGTTTCCTTGCCCAATCTTAAAACAAAAAAAACAAAAAAATGACAAAAAAAATATCCCAGAAAACTTAACAAAAACAACTTGTGTCGCTACATGATGTTCACCTTATTTTTGTCCGGAGATTCCATGTGCATCAAGGGTGCTGTATGTGCTGTGGTAAGAAGAGGTGGTGTTAACTTTACGTTTCCACAGTACAGGTTTCAGGCTTGCGGACTTAACTGTGACATTACTGTGCCAGAACCTATCACGAATGATAATCCTCCTCACAAACTTAGCGAATTCATCCTATCCCATCTCCCTCACCTGCTTCACACCCGCTGCGGGCCTAGTGACCGACCCAGGGAACGTGCACGTTATCTGGGCAGCGTTCTTGTCTGGAAAAAATGTTTGAATACATGTTAATGGTAATTTAGGTTGTGATTTAAGAAAAATATATATTTGGCATTTAGCCCTGCATCACTTAAAAACAAGCTTTAGTGACTGAGGTGGCTGGCCTGTGGTTTCCCCTCTAGCGATTTCACGGCCATTGCCAGGGGTGACCATGGTAGTCTTGGCTCTGTTTTAGAAAAGAGAGCCAGATTGCCCCATGGCTGGACCGCTTGTGACATTATTGGTCCGCTTACAATATCTGGAAAACCCTCATAGCTCTTTTCCACTGGCTCATGTTAGCTGATTCAGCGCAGGGGCCACTCCCAGTCTGGGTGAGTTTCCACCGGATATTTTCTGAGCCGAGCTAAAATGAATCTGTGAAACTGGCCACACATCTCAAATCTGGCTCGGGGGGGGGGGGGGCGAACCAGGGCCAGGGGTTGATAATTTTCATCGCACTCGTCTATTGCATGATGACGTGAGTGCCACGACTTGGGTTTCCCCATCAGAAATGCAACAATGACGCCGCCTGGGCTGCACCGGGCTTGATCGGCGTAGCCCCGAATGCAATTCGGTGGGAAAAAAAAAGAGATTGGAGGAGGCCCTGGTATTGTGGTTCGTGTACAGTTCAGTTGCAGGCCACTTGCAGCTGGTTGTGAGAACGTAGCATCAGTCTCCGAGGAAGCCTCGTTGGGATCACAAACCTCACGGCCTGCACGTGGCTACGTTGAAAACAAAACTCGTGCGGAAATGTGTCACGGATTTTTAGTTTTTACATTTTTATAGGATCAAAATGAAATACATCACAAAACGAGATTAGATCGGCAAAAACGACGGTAGCTGGAACGGTGTTTAGTGTTCGACAATTTCCCCCAAGTCCTTTTCCCATCGTCAAACGTAATTTTGCATTGAAAGTTCTAATTAGCAGCGAGTAAAGCTAGATAATGACCATTTACTTACCTATAGCTATGTACTGGCAGTTTGTTAAATGGATCTCTTACATCCATTTTTACATCTTTGCTCCCCCCACCTCGTTAATTAGTTTCAGTAACGACTGCTAAAATAATGAACGTAATCTTTCTTGTGTATATTTGATGCTTCTGATGAATCGTAGGTTATCCATGATCGGTAGCCCGTATCTTATGGGGAAATCGTGTTTGATTCAAGATGGGGTGGGGGGGGGAGCACCCACGGGAGGGGGGGGGGGCGCTGTTTCCTTTATTACACTCATAAGTTGTGGATACTCCAGACTTCCTCCAAGTCAAGTAGCCTGCTTTGATCAAATTCAGGAAACAACAAAAAAGATACATCGTTTTGGGGGGGAAAAATTTTAAAAAATCACAAAAAAATAAAAAAACCCTACCTCTTCATTCTGCCGAATGATAGCTTTTGAGTTTGATATTATTTTGCTGTTTTTATCTATTTCCTCTGTCTCAAGATTAATCAGGTTTTATAGTATCCATGGCAGTGAATATTTTGTACACTGACAAAACGGTAACATTTTAAAAAGCTTTAATCTCCGCTTGTAGATGACGTAAAATCATGTATACATTATCGCAGTATAACCTTCCTATGCTTTTTGATTGATCACACAGTGAAGTTTTTTGAGGAGATAATACTAATAATTTAATGTCGACATTCTCTAGAAATTGCATTGCTCTCGATTACTAACATTTGATAAACAGTTTAGTTTAAAAAAATATATACTCTATACCAATCTAGCAGCTCAGCTTAAATGTATGTGTTCATGGTGTTTGCAGACTTGGTTGCGGACCTTTTTGAGAATTTAACAAAAAAAACGAAAAATGTTATTTACTAACAGCTGCACATCACAACTTGTGCGAGTATCACATCACACAATGATTGAACGTTTGCTCAATAACCCACGCTCGTTATTTGTCAACGTTTGCTTTTATTTTTTTCGTTAATGCCCTTCACATTTTTTTTACGCAGCTTATTAGCTGCTTGTGTCACGTTAAACGTTTGCCCAGTGCCACTTTCGATTGGCGAATACAACCCTTGTCTGCCACTGTCCACACTACGTGCAACCACGATTGATAGATCACATGCATTTCGGTTCCACGCCTCATTTGGCTCTGAGAATCAAAGCTTATCGGGTCGACGTCGTGCGAAGAACAGGGGTAGAGTGTGGGGAAGACGTCGTGCAAAGAACAGGGTCAGAGTGTGGGGAAGAGTGCTGCTCCCAACTATTGTGGTGGACAAGAGGTCACCGGAAGTGATCTCGGATGTAGCTTTCATCGGATTCGGTGGTGCTGTTCTGTTATTCGAAGGGTTACACACAAGGCGGTGCGAGAGATTCAAATGGGAAACTTCGTCGAGTGACATTAACACCAATAGAGTGCATTCGGCACTGGACGAAATGTAATTGTAGAAAGTGCCGCTATGAAGCCTATTAATCATGCACTGTTTCCCCCCTCTACCGAAACAGCGTTCTTAAAACTGCACCAGAAAAATAACATTCGGTGTTCTGAGAAGCGCACCGTCGCTTGAAAGTCACATTTCCACCACTGGACAATCGAAATAAAATTGGGCGAATTGGCGACAACGAAACTTGGCTAGCGTGAACGCAGGGGCTGGAAAGTTGAACGCTTGTGGGGCACTGGGCGAGAAGAGAATAATAGTGGACTGCTATGACACCCCTAAGGGGAAAAAAAACCTCCTGCAAATTTCGATTTAAAGCTTTCGTGACTGCAGTGATTAATATTCTTGGTTCTTTCGGTAAAGTCACGTAGAAGGGAAATAATACAAATGGAAACGTGAGATTTTTTTTTATCACGACGTTTCGATTGCTTGTGTTGCAATCGAAACGTCGTGATAAACATTCTCATTAGGTGATGATTGCTTGTGTTGCAATCGAAACGTCGTGAGAATTGTATTTGTTTTATTTGTATTATTTTATTATTTCCCTTCCACGTGACTTTACCGAAGGAACCAAGAATATGAATCCTCTGCAAATAATGTCTTGCCGAGTGTGTACAAATTGGCGTTCAATCGCAAGTTGGTGTGTAATCTTAACAGCTAATGTGACACGCACTATGCAGGAATATTGAGGTTAGTCGGTTTAACGCTTAAGACTTTCGCTACCAATATCCATAATAGAGGTTGCTTTTGGGTTAGATTCCTTGAGTATAAGTGTCGTTACACCCGCCACCACCCGACAGCTAATTACGCGACAAACCTTACTAATCGTCTGTCGGGTGGTGGCGGGTTTAACGACACAATTATATTGACGCTATCTAACCCAAAGAAAAACTATTATGCAAGAATATTGACCCTACCTCATCAGTGTTACTCTCTTGCAAGTGTTTGAAGGGTGTTATGTTATTTTTTCAATGACCACACTTTTTTTGGGAGTTGTATTTTTTTAGGAGTTCAATGTATTTAACTGAATGTGACTAACTGATCACACTGTCTTCAATAGCTGAGCGAGAAACGTAACATTGACGAAAACTCAGTAGGCATTAATAGCAGGAGTGGTAACGACTTATACAGGTCTATACGTGTGTACCCACGTATTTACCTTAGATCGCGCATACATTTGAATTGATTTATGATGCAAAAAATTGTTTAAAGCACCAATGAAACCTAAAACATGTTGATATCCAATTCCAAAACTACTTTTCTCAAACGGACTGCCTAAAACAAAGTTTCCCAAACTTCAGTCCTTACGATCCTCCCTCCCCTCACTGTCCACCAGCGGGCTACATATTTGCGCGTTCACAAATTTACTGCACATTCCAATACACAAAATAACGCGCTCCACGCTGCACGCCCCCGATGATTGTTAAACACGTCCGACGTGATGCGCTAAACATTCACGCTGTCTGCGTCACGTAGAACACGTGTACACACACGGCGAGATCTCAATCTTCACTTGGATCGGCTCGATTAACGCGTAACGTGGGACGCGTTTAACAATCATCGGGCGCGTGCATACGGAGAACGATTTCATTTTGTCTTTGAATGGGAGGAGTAAATTGGCAAACGCGGAAATGCGTAACGTGGTGGTGGTGGGGAAGGATCGCGAGGACTGGAGTTGGGAAACCGGACTAAAACATTACTACCACCCAAAAGCAAACACGCGTTTACAGCTGAAAGATTGAGGATTTGGAGCTAGATACGTGGAAATTTTCAAATAGAGCATTACAATAACTGAAGGTTGTGTTTTTTTCCTTCTCTTTACCTATTCCGTATAAGTAGTAGTAATAACGCTTTACATAGTTAACAGTGATGAAGATCGGGTCTCTAATGACTCTTTAAAGCTTCTCTGGCGTCTGTAAGGGTTTTTGTTCCCTCGTGACGGCGTTGTCTCGTGGTTAACATGCGGGGTGGGAGGGCCGGGGTAGTGGTGGGGGGCATGATATTGATCACGCGTGTGATTAATCTACACCCTGCTTATTTCCAGTCCTTTAAACGTGTTCCCGTTACAATTGTGGAGGGAAAAATACTTGGTGGGGGGGGGGGGAATAGCGGCGCTCCCATTCTTTATAGTCACAATGCACACATTGAATCACGCTTGAGAGAGACTTGATAACGATTTGGAGCAAATTATATGCAAGAGATGGTGCTCGTGTTACAGGTGTGGGCTCACGGAGGAGTGGTGCGCTGTATAAGATGACTTAAGATGTGTGTTGTGCGTTGCTGCCCCGTGTTGATCGACGTGCACTCAAGAAGCAGCGTGGTGCGAAACGTCGGAAACTGTGCCGAACAACGCGCGGTGCACGAAGGCACGACCTGAACACACGTTGCGGAAGCTGTACAGCACAGCCGTGGAAACCCTACGAGGGAGAACAAAAAATCAACAATTGATTTTGTGATCCTCAATCTTGACGATGAATCCACTCGTGGACGGACACGTCTTGCGTTGTACCAACGTAACTTAATTATATACGGAAGGGTTCCGGTTCTTAGCTCACGCGGTAAAGAATTTTGGATTTTATCGAACCACAACTTCCTCCCGCAGAAGGAAAAAAAATACTCCAAATGAAGTTTACCAAATATCCCAAGCGGAGTCGAAAAATACATCTTAAAAAAATAAAAAATCTACAAGATTCAGTGAGGCTTTGCGGCAGGGATACAGTCTAAAGTACAATTAATTCAAGTCTGTTTTATTCAATACTTGTTACGTCAATTAAATGTGACCGTATACATTGTAAAGAACTGATTTTGTTATTGGCTTAAGTGCCACCGCTTCCCTTACCCCCCTCCCCCCCCCATGATTTTAACCACAGAGCAGCTGAGAGGCTGTGGTAGTAGCTCTTGGTGTTGATTCATTGTTAGTTCTGACTGTTTCGGCTCGGACTCGATCCATGGTTGAAATAACTTCGGCGGAAAAAAATAAACCAGGTTCGTAATTTAATGCTTATAAAAATGCAGATGAGCACAAACAATAAACAAAAAATCTCCAAGGAGTTGTGAGTCAAAGTGTTAAAAGGCAGCTGAGACGGCTATGATTGCCGTGTGACTCCTTGATGTGGTTAGATTTTCGCGATTACACTTTTACATTTCTAAAAAGGGCAAGCCGGGCTGGCGCGTGCCAGTTTCCGAGTCGATCCACCTCTTTCGAG